TTACACTGGAGGACTCAAATTTCAACTTAGATGATTATACTGAAATATGTCAGTTAAATAGACTTCAGCACCATAAAGTAACTTAAAAGCATAGGCATGTTCTCCTGCTACTTATACCAAGCAGTACCTGTAGCTATTAGCTATATTTTGCCCTTTACTATTTTTAATATAAAAAATTACATCGAAACAAAAAAAAAAACTTCAAGTTTCTATTACCCTACCTGAACAAAATTAACAAAGTCATGATGAAATCAACCAGGAAATCTATTTCTTGTACTTATACCATGCTTTGGACCTTCAACTTTTATCTATCAGGATGTTTATTGTATATGAAAAGGACATGCCTATTGCCTACATCCCCATTTTGAGACCCTTCGTCTCTTCGACGTTAATCCACCGATTTCTAGGTTGTTCATAGTAAAACGTTTGTAGATAAAAAGTCAGTGTATGCAAAAAAAAATTCTGGAAGACAAAAATGGAAACTAGAACTCGACATCAAGTGACGGATACAACTACCGAGGGTAATCTTAGTGAAGGTATGCCTCCAGGTGGAAATGAGAAGTCGTTGCTTGGATAATTGTATGATCTATCTGGAGATCCTCCATTAGCAATATGCGGCCTAGAGTTACTGGAACTACTTGAACTGGCAATAGAACCATTCCCCATTGCTTTTGAAGGGTCGACATTCATGTCGGAAATTTTCTTGACCTTCTTTTCTTGAACCTGTTCAACTCCCGGATAAGCAAAAAATAAGAAAAAACTGTGGAGAATGGAGAAGATCAATTAAATTAATCCACAAAAAATTAATAATAATAATAATAATATTATAAGAAATACTATCATGTTCATTTTGTATGCATGCACAAGCAATCAACTGGTGTCTGGTACATAGATTCCATCAGAATTTATTTCATAACATGGTTTTCTTTCATACTTACTCTTCCGCGGTCCTCACAAAAATTGGCCTAGTCAATGCCTTTAGTATAATATTAACAATCACATAATCAATAAACCATTAAGGTGGCATACTGCATAGTAAAATAAAAAATGTTAGAAATTATAATTAAACAGAAAAAATGAACAGCCAACACATAAGCACGCCCTAAAAATCACCCTATATGAAAAGTTTTCTCGTTAGCTGTATGATTCAATATTTAATAACCAACTAATTCAAAATATAAGTAATTTCCAAAGGCTAAGCTCAGGTAACAGATTCCATGAGAAGCCAGAATTTAAAGGCCTCATAGGATATAACACATTTCCATAAACACGTATTATGTCCAAGCATGTGAAACAAGGGACAAAACTTTGTTTATAGAAATGTTCCTCAGAGAGAACAAAGCATGCTACAAGTGAGCATTATATCGTACCTTCCAAAATTTGATGGTTTTATCATTTGTAGAAAGAAGGAAGAGAGCACCATTAGCTGTTTGACACCACTTTATTTTGTTTATTTTCTCTTCGATTTCCAAGCTCTTAAGGTAGTCAAACTGAAACAACAATCACATGTTATAGACATTAACATTATCAGTCACAGGATTTTGAAGCAGCAATGACTTGTTTGACTGAAAAATACCTCAGGCTCGTGACTCTGAAACTCTGTTTTATAATGGAACTCGGGATGCCTATTTGCAGAATAGTCCATCCTCTCCAAATCGCTTCTTGATCCACCATGCTGCATATGACAGTATACATACAAGTTACAATATTAAGTGCAAAACATGGAATGTTTCAAAACTTAAGTTTGATGTAAAAAGAAAAGTTTACAAAGGCAAAAATCATATTTACATCTTTTGCATCTGTCCTATCAAAGAGAACTACTCTACCACCACGATCACCAGTAGCAAGATGATCACCAGACTTGTCAAATTCAATAGCAGAAATTATGTCCACTGCAGAAAGAAAATTGGGCAAATAATTAGGAACATTTCACATTAACTAATCCAAATTTCTCAATCAATTTGTACTAGAAGTCTGTTAATAGTGTCGGCATGTCACATATATATACCCAATAAGAATCCATCTGATTCAAAAATCCATGTCAGAATTTCTATTCTTTTTAGCATCTTAATCCCTTATATAAACCACGAAATAAATCTTAGTTAGACTTTGACATAGTACTGTATGTTTCCTGTGAGTTAAACGGTTAAACCACCTTCCAAAAAAAATACTTTTCTGTGAAAAAGGAAACCATGACCTGTCTCCAAGTCCAAAACTCTGCCACCATAATCTCGCCATAGGACAATGGCAAAAGTTTCTAAAACTATCCAAATATCAAATGAAATTAGCCAGATCGTGTAGATACAATTTCTAGAGAACAAGATAGCTTTAGCTCCCGCGTAGAAAGACTGGTTCAGTCAGTGAATATGCTTCACATTTAACATTCCATTTACACACTTTTCACCATAACTAAACATTCATTTAATTTCTAAATCCTTCTTTACGTTTTTATCTTTGGTGGGGGTTGAGAAACTGAAGTTTAATGGTACATTATGGTTTACTTTTGATGATAATCATTCATAACCTATAAACTACATCATAGCTTCAGCATTGAACTAGATACATTCAGTTGGGGGACAAAATTTCTAAACTATATATATAGGATCGATCTTAGTTGCAATACTGGAAACTTGAATTAGCAAGAAATTAATTTTGCAGACCGCAGTATAACGGTAACACCGTATATCTAGCTACTGTAAAAAATACAGGAAAAGACCAATGATGCATCAATTTTTTGACAGAAAATGCCAAAAACCAAATGTTTTTTTCACCTTGTCAAAGTTGAAAATCATAACCTTACCCCTGAAGTCAATCTTCAATGTCACTCATCAAACTACGTACCATTAAAAGATTTGAATTTTGAACCATAGTATCCAAACTCAATAGAGAAAATAAACAAACCAATTCACCACAAGTCCACAACAAGAACTGCTTTATATATAAGCACAGGCTAGAACCAAAACCACTATTTTAAACTCAAAAAACTAAGTTTCACAATCACATTGAAAACTAAACAAACTAATTAGCTACAAGCAAAACCACCATTTTATACTCAAAGCCAGTAAAAATTCACAATGCAAAATAACGTTAAGATTTCATCTCAAAACCAATTAGCTATGAGAGGAGTAGTCCAACATGTATTTAAATCATTCCCAAGACAATGAGGTAGGCGATGTGGGACTTACTTCCCAACATGTCCCCTCCACATAATTTTGTCGGATCAGGCAAAGGGTTACATTTGACCCATAACTAAAGGGCATCTTTTGGCTCACGACAATCGGAAAAAAGTTGGGCTCTAACTCTATATCATGTTAAGGTTCCATCTCAAAACGAATTGACTATGAGAGAAGTATCCAACAGTTATTTAAACCATTCACAAGACAATGTGATAGGCAACGTGGGACTTACTTCCCAATAAATACAACCTCAAAATAACTACTTACCCACCATCAAAATTACAAATCGTTTAAGCAATGACCCAGATTCCAAAAATCAATCCTAAACAGATCAAAAGCATCGAAACAAACCCTAATCCCAATACAACCAAATGGATCCAAAAGGGCCACAACACAACGTAGGAATGAACAAATTACCTTCCTGAACTTCTTCACCAGCCGAACGTTCACCAAAAACCTGCGAGAATTTCCACTCCAGAGGTTGCGGTGGACCCGCCGGAGAAGCATCAGCAGCGACCCCATCGCCACCGTTCATTTCTCCGGTAAACGAAATCAACGGCTTCTGAAAAAATCACAACAATCTTATCTATAACAACGCATCGAGGATTTTCCTTTCTGGGTTTTCATAAGATCATTGTTTCAGACAGACCCATCAAAAAAATTGCAATTTTTCTTCCTCTTACACTATTCTTTGGATTTTCAGTTGAAACATTGCAACACCCAAAAACAAAAAGGGAAAATATTTGATCAATTTTTTCTCTTTCTAAAAGGAGATGGGAAACTATTTTATTTTTATTTTTTGGATTAAAATTAAAATGAGTGAGGAAATCGATTCTTTGGGTTCAAAGATGCAAAAACACACACTTCGAACTCTCAATAATAGGTTTCTGTTTGTTTTTTTCGTACGTTAATATATAATTTCACAGTCTGGGATAATGTCACGTGTCTGTCACATGTTTGTGAAGTTCCAAGTTTTGTTGATTTGAGATTAGTGCTAGTGTTCTCATACCATATAAATATTTTTGAGTGTACTGTATTATCATCCCGTTTAAATGTCTAATGTAGTAAATTGTGTTGAATATTATAATTTGTAATTGAATATATTCGATTGAGTTAATTGTTCAATCTTAGTGAATTGAGTGGATAGTTTGAGACTGAATTTTTTTTTAACTTTATGCAACTCTGCAAAATTGATTGGTTTGCTCAGATTTTAGGATATTCAAAATGTTACTACCATGAAAAAATGAGAGAAAATAGGAAGATTTTAGTCATGGAATTGTGAGATGAAATAAGTATTTTTGGTTATTAAGATATAATTATTAGCAAGGGTAATATGATAAATTAAAAATTACATCATCTTTCATCTTGATAGTTATAACATATTTTTCCTTTATCTATAAGTATAAATAAATATAAATATATAATAATAAAATTTAGTAACATATTGTGAACACCTAATTTTGTCCGGCCTATTTATAAAATAAAGAATATGAAGATTTTAAAACAATAAAATTTTCAAAAAAGGGACAATATTTAGGCGTCTCAAACCAACTTTATGATGATTATTCGGTTCATAATTTATTAGAAAAAAGCTTTTAAATTTTTTAGAGAATGTTGTAGAGCAAGATAAAAATCCAAATTGCTTAGTTGGTTGCTAAAGGTAGCAAGAATTTTGAACTCATAGATGTCGGAAGTTGTCAATGTTCAAACTATGGTTTTGAAGCTATGGTTTTGGAGGCTAAAGGATACCATTTTTTATAGTCACTACAATCCAGATTAGCTACCAAAAGAAGAAAGAAATGGTAAGGATTGGATTAAATTCATGATAAACATTAAGTGCACTATATCAAAAACGCAAAGCTACAAATGATTATGTGGGTATATGATACAACTATCCTTGTGATATGTGGGTATATTGTTGTATTGAGTGCACCAAAGCGGTCCTGCTCCAACTAGTTTCACTCAACCAAATAAAAGATCATTGTCCGCCATGACTCCTATTACCATCACACAGTATAGGCTGGAGAGCTTAATATAGGATCAAGGGAAACTTCAAGAACGGTTCCGAATGATGAAGTACCAAATGCTATCACTGACATTATGCATTGGTTGGAGGAGGATTTCAGCACAACACGGGGGGATGTTGGTTGTAGCAGCTATGATTTATCACACCTACAACTCCTTACTCAATATGCTTTACTACTCCCTGCAAAAAGTTAAAGAATGCCAAATGATGGTTGCAACTACCTGCAAAAAGTTTCACTAATCAGTGGCTGAATTAACAGGATGATAGATGTTGCAAAGCAATAATTAAATAAGGAATTTATGGAGAATGACAAGCAACATGCACATTACAGTCAAGCCAATAACTGAGTAATCAGTCAAGTATGACGTGTAAGAGGCAATCAACAGATGCAAGGCTGACACTTTTTATTTATTTATTTTCCAGTTACATACACAGCATAAATGACTTTACTGCCAAATCAATCACATAATAAATCCTAAGGGAAACTAGCCAAAAATATACATCAGATGGTTGCCTATTGGGATATGCAAATTTCAGTTACAAACACTGCATTGATAACTAGTTTGAAAGGCACAAAAAAGCAGAGAATACAGAAGGGGTGACCAGTCGAAAAATGCAATTAGCAGAGCCCAAGAAGCACTAAATTATTGACTCCATACATACACCTTTGGACCAGTTACACTTTAGGCATAATAGGCATTAATAGTGTTAGTTATGTGCAGTTTTGAGAAGTAATCATCAGCCCTCTTTTCAGTTATGGAATCAGCTGGATAGTAAATAATAATCATCAAAATATAATCAAAAGCCACTCAAAAGCCTAACAGTTGGAAATTTAGAAGGTTATGGGCTGTTTACTAAGTCCAATTGGGAAACCAAAAGGTTCCTTCAGAATCCTTTATAAACAGCCATCATACTACACAGGGGAGACATACTGACACCACACATAGCAAACCAGAGACCCACACTCATAACATAACCACCAGAAAATCTTCTTACTTTCATCTTCTTCATATACATGTTCCTTAGTCTAAAAAAGACACACATTATGCAATAACCAGCCTCTGCTATCTCTCATACACACAAGCCATCCCTCCTCCGATAACCAGCAGTCCATACACACATATCATACACCATAGGTATACAAAGCCAATCATACACACAGATAGCACATAAGAGAAAACTCAGCAAGTCACATACATGAAGAGAGCAACCACTTATACAGCACTATCCTCATAACGAATATCAACAATAAAGATTAAACAGGGAATAATTCAGAAGCAGAAACAAAGGCTAATTAGGAACGAAAGTTGATAATCAGAAGCAAAGAATAAGGATATAATTCCAAGACGAACCAAAGCAATCGAAAAGGGAGTTCTAGTCAGATTAAAGCCAGACAGAGGTGAATCGTGCATTCGAAAGGTAAATCATAGGTAAGGCAATCACATAGTCACATAAAAAACCTACACATAAATATGTTTATAGATCGTACACTATCTTTTGGTTTTGATTTCAAATTTTTAACAAAATAAAGAGGATAAGTAGAGGATTAGGAGGTTACCCTTGCTCAAACGGGGGTTCTATGAAGAACCCATATTGGTACCCGCTGATTCACCACCGCCGATGGTGGTTCTGGCCGGACAAAGTCAGCCGTGGTGGTTTCCTATCTCCTTCACAATTCTAAGAAGGAAAAGAGGAAAGAAGCAGAGGAGGAATAGGGTTTTCATACCTTTCTGAATCTGGAATAGAAGGACAAAACCGAAGGGAGGAGTTGGAACAGACGATGAGCTCCTTTTTAGGTTGTCACCGGAGCGAAAACGCTGCTTCCGTCGCCAAAGGAGAAAACCATGAATTCTTCTCACTTTCGTTTTTCTCTCTTCTTCCCACCCTATTCTAATCTCACTCAAATCCCTAAAAATGAAAAATGGCAAACCTAAACATAACCCCTCCATCTTCAATCCGGTTTTCTTTGTTGGGCCTGACCCGAACCCATTTTTTTTTTTTTGTTTTGTTTATTCTTTTGTTTTAATGTCTTATTTGTATTCTTTATTTATACATATGACATTTAATTTATTATCCATTGTAATAATAGTATCAATCATAAAAGGCCCTAGTTTGTTCTATATTTTAAACTATCAAGTTATATGCATTATCAAAGGAATTTATATCATTATTTATTCAAGTGATTTTAAACGGAGTTTATAGCAAGGTTATGACCCGTGTTGTTTCTGAATTCTCTAAAAATGAGAAGGAGGTCTACGACCAGTGTCGTCTCTAAACTATTCATTTCATATCAAATATTTCAAAAAATAATCATTATTTACTCAAATGATTTTAAATGGAGTTTTATAATAAGGTTAGGGTCCGTGTTGTCTCTAAATTATCTGAAAATGGGAAGGAGGTCTACGACCAGTACCGTCTCTAAACTATTAATTCCATGTCAAATATTTCAAAGGAAATCTATTTTTATTATTTAAACGAATTTCAAATGGAATTTTTATAGCAAGGTTAGGGTCCGTATTGTCTCTAAATTCTCTGAAAATGGGAAGGAGGTCTACGACCAGTGCCGTCTCTAAACTATCAATTCCATATCAAAAATGTTTTAGTAAAAACTTATTTTATTACTCAATCAAATCGATACCTTCAAATCAACGAAATCAACTAATTAATTTTCAAACCAGAACTACGTAGCCTTGATTTCCCTATTGCAGCTAGGGACACGTAGGAGCAAGTTGAACTCTTGTCAGGCACAACAATAAAAAATAAAACATTTTGTTTTTATTTACTGAATTTTAATAAATAATTTTAAGGGTATAAAAGTCCATGTTATTAGCGAGGGTACCGTTTTAATACGGGCGGACGGGGTGCTAATACCTTCATCGATCCGTAATCGACTCCCGAGCTCAGAATCTCTGATTAAAGACCAAATTATCTTAATTGAGCATGTTTAGAGTTTTCTACGTTTTAACCGCAAAAAACGTAGTGGCGACTCCAAATCAATTGGAAGAGGTAGAAATTGAGTTCGCCTCTCCCTAAGTCGTAGGGTCGGTCTTCCAACCGAAAATTGGGTCGCGACAGCTAGCGACTCTGCTGGGGACATACCCATAAGAGAGTCAGGCCTAGAGCCGTTAAATACATGGACATAATACCTTTTGTTTTCCTACTTTTTTTTTATGTGTTGTTTAGATTAAAAAACAATTATTATATGTGATATTCCTTTGTTCCCTTATCTGTGTTAATTGTTGATTTGCAGTTTTTAAGGGGGGTTTATTTTACTTGCAGTATAAGGTTTGTATGCTTCCTCACACACTCCTACAGCACACTCGAGTGACACACACATATGCCCTATACCCGGGTATTAGAGATTAGGATTTTTGGGAAAAAGGGGCATATGCCTTGTGGGTGCTGGCCTCGTGCCAAATCTTACATTGGCATATTGAACCACCCAGATTGTTCCCGGTATTATGAGTTAGCGGCTTAGGGAGCTCGTCTCCTTTCGTTTCTAACTTGTAATATTCGGTTTTCCTTTCTTTCGAGATTGGAGGCAATCCGGCGACATAAAAATTCGTGACCTTTTTATCGAGTCCACTTTAATTAACATCTAGTACCTTGCCATAGGGTCTGACCATAGATGTTCCCAGAACCTTTTAGGGCATATCTGATATAAGACACAGGAAGCAGACAATTTATGTTCATTTGTCATCATGCATCATGAAAAAGGGACTTACCCTCCCTAAGTTAGATGAGTTCGTTATCTACACCTAGGTGATATGAGGATGTCACATGGCAGTTTACATTTATTTCATACCCAACAATGGGATCCACGCCCTAGGGTCAGTTAACATGTCATGATTATTATCTTCATTAAACAATTTCATACCACAATCTAAGGCAGCAGTGCCTGATCCTAGATTAACATCATACCCTTTAATGGGCTTGACGCCCTAGGGATAAAATGTTTATTCATGCAAGGCCGGTCTTCCAACCGAAAATTGGGTCGCGACACATATATAACAATTTATGTTATATAATAGTTTCAAACTCAATACCACTAAAGGTACAAGATAGGTTTCAATTCATTAAGATGTTGAGAAAACATCACTTATATATAATAATTTAGTATGTAATATTATATATAACAATAAAATTTACACAAAATTAGTAATTTAAGCTACAAAATTAGTTGAAGAATTTAAGCAACATCAAATACTATTCCCAAATATATATTTCTTTAATATTCGTTTAGTTCAAACAGTTCCTAAATTTTTAAAATCATAAACTGAATCAAACTTAAAAGTTCTTAAAAACCAAACTGGACCACAAAACCGAAATGAACTACATTTTGTGGTTTACTTCGGTCAAGTTGGATTTAAGATTTAAACATAAACCACCTACCCATAATTTATCATATGGAGAAAGGGCATTGTAGTGCAAAATACATAGGAGATATTGTAACTTTACTCAAGAGTCCATGTTCTATAACCAAACCACATTATTGTAGTACAAAACAGAGAGGAGGTCTTAAATAAATAAACATGAACAAAGTCCATATTACATTGCAATTGCATTTAGCCTCATGATTTTACATAATCAACAATGGGTTAATATTAAGGTTGGGTTTAGGAATTTTTAGCAACAATGCACCCACATTCAAGAGCTCAAGGACATTTCAGCATTCAATAATTTTTAGCAACATATTTTACTTATATATATATATATATATATATATATATATGTGTGAATGAGAATAAAATATCTTATAGATAACTTATGTACTTAAATCCACTCATTATTTAATATGTGTATTATTTCACTTACATATGGAAGTTCTCATTTTAAAATATATTATTAAAGGAAAAATAAAAAACATCTTAAACAATGTGTAAATTTAAAAAGATAAATTATCTTCACATATATAAAGACATTTTATTCAATATATATATATACGAGCTTTTGTGTCCTCCATCTCACTCAAGCCAGAATGAAATGATATCTAACATTTCAAACAAAACCCCCAAACCATTAGAATAGGGATGATAAAAATACCTAAACCTATGGGTATCCGTTAAAATATCTGTAATGGGTATCTGCAAAAATAGATCATGGGTGAGAACGGGTATCATGATACCCGCCACACGGTACTCACGTATATATTTTAATTAAATATTTTATACTTAGTTATTATTAATTTAATAATATATTTGTTTATTTTATTATTAATTCATGATAAAATTTAGTAATGAGACTATAATCATAAAATTATCATATTATTTAAGTAAAATTTATTTTTATAAATTAATTATGGTAAAATATATACAAATATAATTAAAATTGGAAACTCGTTGGGTACATGTGTATATCCGCTACCCGCACAGGTACTCGCAAATAGTGCGGGTGTGGGCACGAGTATGCACTACCCGTGTCCGCACGTGTTCGTTGCCATCCCTAAGTGAACCAAGCATATTGAGATAGATTGCCATGTGGTTCGTGAAAAGATTCAACAAAAATTGGTTCATCTTATGGCTATTCCTTCTCCTGCCCAATTAGCTCATGTGTTTACTAAGCCTCTATCCTCTAAGGCTTTCCATCAAATTTTTGATAATTTGGGATTGTATTCTTTGCACATTCCAACTTGAGGGGATGTTAATAAACCAAACTTTCTGTAAGTTTCTTGCCTGAGCGAGAGCATGTCGCTTATGCGAGAAACCCAATGTCGAAGACCAAACTTTCTAGAAGTTTCTCGCCTGAGCGAGAGCCTATCGCTCAAGCGAGAAACCCAAGGTGGAAGACCAAACTTTCTGTGGGTTTATCGTCTGAGCGAGAGTTTGTCGCCCAAACGAGAGTCATATGTGCAGAAGACGGTTCGTTTCGTATTTCCAGAGTTTTCTTTTTCAACTGTTCATATTCTCTAATAATTTATGCACTTATTGAGTTTGTTAGTTTTTGCATTTAAAATGATCTTTTGCTGAATGAGAAGAAAGTACACTGAATAAATATTTTTCTCTTCCCTGAATTCTTACTCCTCTCTCTTCATTGTTCAAGCTTCAAAAATGCAATGCTATGAGTACTATATGCTTATGTTATAATATATTATGTGTTCATGATGTTGTGCACCATTAAATTTATCTCACATATCATGGTAGAAACTTTATATAGTATATGTTAATGTTGTTATTTAGTGACCATAAGATCATTTTCAAATCTTGAACCAGCCTCTCCATTTGTGAGATAAGGCTACATGTATATACCCTCTTCATAACTCACTATGTGAGAGCCCATACATTTGGTCGTATTATTATTGTTTGGATACTTAGCTTTGGCTCATGAATTTCAGGTACAGTTTCTTATTAGCACTACCTTCTTTAGTATTCGCTTGTGGAATCTCATTGCCAAAAATGGTAAATCTAAGCAGCATATTAGGTTACATTTTATTGTGAGAGGATTCATTTGGATATCTAGAACAGTTTCTTTGATTGTTCAATATAAATGGGTCAAAGTTGTAAACTTTATCTGGTGGGCATGATCATGTGCATTGGTTTCAGGTTCGAACATTGAAATTATGCGGCTTCATCTGTCAAGAAAATGATAAAATTTTAATAATTCT